GGGAGGTGGGCGGGGCCATGGAACTGTGGGCGTGGTCTGAGCTAGGGCGGGGCCTGGGCGGGGCGACGCAACCGGTTGGGGGACACATTTCGGAACCGCTCTCCTAAGGCTACTAAATAAGGACTTTTGCAGGAGCACGGAGGTGACATCACCATCCTTGAATCTTCGCTTTCCCACACTCTGTCAACCTTGCTTTGCCTTTTTTGTTTTAGATGTGTCGCCTGCGGTCGCCAGATAACTTCCGTTCACCGCGTTGTGATAGCAGGGGGACAAAGGAACACTTAACTTTTTTACAGGCAAAAAACCATTGACCATAATGAAGGAGAATGGCTTGTAGGTCTTAAAAGGTAAAACAACGTCCATCTACAAAATGGCATGGGGACCACAAGACTTAGGGATGTTGGCTGCGCCTTTCATGCTTAATCTTTTGTTTGTTTGTTTGTATCAAATGTGTAAACAGATATATTTTTTTCTTCCCCCCCCCCCAAAGGATTACTTTCACATCTGACAGAATATCTGGACCACTTTTAATAACTGATGTAAGGCTGCCCTTAAAAAAAACCCTATATTTTCCAAACCTTCATCTCATGACTTCTAAGTCCAACAGTTGTTGTTGTTTTAAAGCTCTTCTTTACTTCCAGGTACTTCCTTTTCCATCCCTTAATATCTGTGCATCACTGTGTCCTATTTTCTGTTTTGAAATTCTAGGCTGTTGGATTAGATTTTGATAAAGTGCCCTTTGGCTCTAACATTTTCATCTTCATGCTTTGCAGTTTAGGAAATAATCTCACCATCCCTTTTGATCAATCTCAAACACTTGGCACATGGCTCCAAACTCATTTTGTGACAGTTTACAAAATCAAAATGAGGGCTGCGTCAACTCAGACCTGTTTGCAAACCTTGGGGACAATGAAACTTCACTTCACAGGTGACCCATATCTTCACCCTTCAACCCAGATGATCCTGTCTCCCTTCCTTCTCCTTGGTAGGTTCCTTCATCGGGATGGAAGGGCTAAGATTTCCATATTTTGTCCAAAACTGCAGCATTTGGGTCGTGCGTAAATGTTTGTGATTAAAGATGTCCATCTGTTTCTCCAGGATTACTGGCATTCTCGATTTCTTGTAGTTTGTGCCAACGTTGGGAGCAGTCAAGACAATTCAGCGTTTTGGAATTCTGCACTTGGAAGCTGCTGCACACGAGGGGCCTGAAAACCAATGACAGAAGTAGCTAGGACGAAAAATAGCTAAGGCTGACTTTACCAGGCAGCGTTAACCATGGTCTAGGTCTTTGGTGTGGTTGGGGGTGAATTGTTTTTTATTGTTACTATTGTTATTGTTGCTAACGTCGTGGCCTCTGACCTGTCTAAAATTAAGTGTCCAGTTTTTCCTATGACTAAGTGTATCCATCCATCTTTGTTCATCTGAGCCAAACATTTCACAAATAGGGAGGCAGAACCATCAAGTTTTATAAAGGGATTGCCTAGAGCCACAGGGAATTCAAGGCTGTGCAAGGACAAAGGGTTGGTTCTCCGTTTTGACTGAAGTGAGCAGTCCAGTCATGGATTCCTAAATCGACACCCAGAAGAAAATAATCCTCAACTTCTCTCCTCTCCCCGTCCCCCATGTGCCTTGACAGCTACCAGGTGCCTCAACTGCTTTCTGAAACATTATGAGGGCAGAAGGACTCTTTGAACAGACTTCACATTCCTGAAAGGTCTCCAGTTTACAAGCTTGACCTTTTCTGAAAATGAAATAATAAATATGGTTGCAGACATGTACACACAGGAATAAAATGAGAATTCCTTGTTTACCAGACAACTTTAAACTTGCATCCTGTTATCGGACCGTACTGCAGCTTGAATAAACTAGTTGGCTTTTTAAGAATCATAGGTTTACAAACCTCTCTTCCGTATCCTACTTTGAATTCATTTGGATATCTACTGGAAGTGGGATTGCTGGATCATAGGTAATTCTATTTTTAAATGTTTTAGGAACATCCATACTGTTTTCCATAATGGCTGCACCATTTTGCATTCCCACCAGCAGTGCAGAAGGGTTCCAACTCCTCCACATCCTCACCAACATGTTATTTTCGGTCCTATTGAGAGTAGCATCCTGGCGGCTGTAAGGTAATATCTCACTGCAGTTTTGATTTGCATCTCCCTGGTGATTAGTGATGCGGAGCATCTTTTCCTGTGCTTACTGGCCACTTGTATATCTTCTTTAGTAAACTGTCTGTTCAAGTCCTTGGCCCATTTCTAACTCGGGTTTTTGTTGTTATTGAGTCATGGGAGTTCCTTATATATTCTGGATATTAACCCCTTATCAGATACATGTTTTGCAATTATTTTCTCCCATTCCATAGGTTGTCTTTTCACTCTGTTGATTCATCTTGTAACGGCACATTTACATTGCGTTTTAATCCCGAGATGCCAAAAGCATTTGTTAAATATTAAATGGAGAAATGAATTCTTCATTTTCTTGTAGACAAAGAGCCTCAAAATATGGAAGTGAGCTGGCCTCCTGGTACCACTGAGGAGCCCTGCTCCCCCCACCCCCTTCTAGTTCCGTTTCTGTGCCATAAACATGTTTTCATCATTGTCCTCAGGACCCTTAGATGGTTCTGCTTTCACTCACCCCTTACTCGAGGCCTGAACCTGCTTCCTTTTGCCCTGTCATGGGGGCAGGCACTTCTGCTACAGCTTGCTTCTGCTACAGCTTGTACCTTTGGTTAAACCCAAGTTGGTTGGAAAGGCTGTGGAGACCAAAGAAAAGCAAATACAAGATGGGGTGAGCATATGTCAAAAGCATCAACCTCACACTGCTGAAGCATGTTTTCCATACCCCAAAAGGAGCCCCTAATGTGACAAGAATGCAGGTAGTTATGAAGACAGTGCAAAAATTGGAATGTCCTGGAAACTCAGAGTTATTGTGCCCACAGTTGTGAAAAATATGGATGGAACGGACCCAATCTCCAAATCCCCAGAATCCCCGACTTCTTGTTTATAAAATGGGGCATAATATGGGTTGGTATCTATCACAAAATTGTGTGTGTGCGTGGCATGACACTAAGCACTTATAAAGCATGCCAAAGGCTTGAAAATGTTATTCAAGAAAGGGTGCAGGGTTCCTTAACTGGAATGGACAAAATGATGTTGATTAATTCTGCCTAAAGTGAAGGGAAGGCAATGGATTCTCAGGTCGCCTGGCCTTGAAGTTGACCCTGTTTTCCTCAGGGCTGAGTCTTGCAGTTTCACTTTCGTCCTGCAGGTGGCAGCCTTCCTCACCAAAAAGTCACACAGCTGACTCTGAAGAGATAAAAAACCCCTTATCTCTATTTATTCTTTCATTGGCTCTATCATTCACTCTGCAAATATTTACTGAGCATCTCCTACGTGCCAGGAACCAGGGAAACAGCAGTGGTCAAGCACATGCTGTCATTTGCCTTCTTAGAATTTAACAGTTTGCAACAGATCTGGGACTTCATTCAAGGAAGCTGAGAGGACCTCCCCGCACACCCTCAAAGATCTTTGATATGAATGTTCTAGTGCGAGGCACAAGCCCTAGCTGGGGTCCTTGCTCAAAAATAGAGTGCCCTCTTGAGCAAAAATGACTCTCTGAAGATCGCTACTGAATACCAATAATTTTTCAAGCTTACTTGCACTTAAAAGGGTGTTTTCATAAGCTCCACATGCAGAGAAAAGAGTTGGGGAGGTCAAGGGGCACTGAAATAGTCGCCAGTGCAGAAAGGGGGTGTTGGAATGGTGGGGCAGGAGAATGAGGAATTATAGGCCAGAGCTAACTCTCAAAATGTCCCCCACATTTTAAGCCAAACATCTTCTTTGGAAAAAAAAAATTGCCCCAAATTTGGATATGAGACCAAGAGAGGACAGTAAAAAAATTTTTTTTTAATATATTTTTATTGATTTCAGAGAGAAGAGGGGAGAGGGAGAGAGAGAGAAAAAAACATCAATGATGAGACAGTCACTGGTCAGCTGCCTCCTGCATGCCCTCTGCTGGGAATCAAGCCCGAAACCCAGGCCTGTGCCCTGACCAGGAATCAGACTCTATCTCCTGGATCTGAGGTCAATGCTCAACCGCTGAGCCACGCCGGCTGGGTGAAAGAAGGAACTTCTGATTCGCAACTCACTCTGTTGTCATACTCAGTGGACAACAACCCCCTGTGGTGGGGACAGAATATTTGTGCCTTTGACAAGAAGTAAAAAAGAAAAGCCCATATGACTTCCCCTGGAATTCCCCTCCCCTCAGCCCAAGTAGGTATAATTCTTTATATTTAAAAAAATGGACTATGGAAGGAATCATTCTATTCCAGTTTCTGTCACATATGAATGATTTAGTTGCCTTTCCTGTATAAAGCCCAGCCTAAAGCTTTGCTGAAAG